ACAGCAGAACTGCCTGCAGTCCAGGGAGAGGTGTGTGTGCACATCCGTTTTGTCCCAAGGTATCCCTGCTTGTGAGTGGGAATTTTTAATTGCCAGCATCGCAGTGAGTTGTTGCTCCCTCGGCATTTCCAAGGCTCTCAGCAGAGCTGCTTGGACTTTTTCATTAATTCAGGGTGGGTCTTTTTTTGGCTGCCTACTGTAAACGACGTAAGGCTTTAAAAACTGATCAATAATCCTGATGGTAGTAGCAAAATCCAGGCCAAGGCAGCATGAATGCGAGCCACAGATTACGTGAAGGAAGTTTTAAACACCTCTGACTCCCTTCCCTTCCCTGGACTTGCTTTGTCCTCCCACCTCCCCGTGCTCCTCCAGCTGGATCCATTCACATTTCTCATGCTTGTTGAGCCCATGACAGGTGATTTAAAAGCCCCAGTTTGCGTTGGCACCTCCGCTCTTCATAACCAGAGCCGAAACACATCGCTGCTGTCCTGCTGTGGATTGGCTGTGATTTATTGCTGTTGCTGGCAGGCTGGAGCACAGAGGTGCTGGCTCATTCCAGGAGGGATGGATGTCTGTGGGAAGTGAGCCCCCCGAGGAGGACAGCTTGACAAACACCCGCACTTGGGAACGCGACGTCGTTGAGGCGCCTGTTTTAACTTCTTCATTGAGGAGGCATCCTCCTCCTTGCCTCAGCAAAACTTACTCCACAGGCTTGAAAAGGGGAAGAAAATGTGGCAGAGAGGCATCCCGGGTTGATCTGTTGCTCTGCCTTTGATAAGGAAGTTGTTGTGGTTTAGGGGTTGAAGTTTGTACAAGCAGTTTTGGCTCAGGTTTGCAAGGAAAGAGCGGTTTGATGTGTGATTCTCAAAACAAGTCTTCAGCCTCTTGTCTTCCTTCAGAAAATGGTTGTCTCATCCCAAGGGAGGTCTGCTGGGTAATTTGTGGGTAATGGAGGGGAACAGACCTCAGAGGAAGAAGGGTTTCCAGCATGTGAACAGAATTGTCTTTAGGGAGAAAATGTGGTGTCAGAAATGACAGTAGTGCTGCTGGCTTTTCCTGGCTCAGGATAAATGACTTTGGGGGGAGAAGTGGAGGAAAACCTGCTTTCTGGGAGGTACCACAGGGCTGCCTGCCTTTCATCACGGCCTGAGTGGTGTGTCCTTGGACCCAGTCCCCAGGATGGGAGAGGGAGAGAGAGGAGCGCTTGGACCTACAGTAGTTTGCAGGCTGACCTGTGAAATATGGGTTATCCATCATCCAGTTCTCTCCTTCTCTTGGGAGCTCATGGCTTTTGGGGAGGGCAGTGTGGCTGTAGTCTGTGCCATCCCCCACAGATCCTGGGATGCTGCTGCTGCCACTCTCCAGGCACCTGCTCTGTCCCCATGGGAGATGCAGGCATCCTCTCTGAGCACTGCCCAAACCTTTGGCTGTGGCTTGAAAGGCAGAGCACATCCCTGGAGCCAGCTTGGAGGTGCTGGGTCTGGGGTTAAAAGTTAACAGTGCTCTTTCCTTATTCCATTCTAATTCAATTTGGGAAGGCAGCAGGGAGATGGAGGGCACTTAGTCCTCTAAGTGCTATTCCCTTGATGGGAGTTAGTAGCTTGCACTGCATGTGTGGTGTTGATTCTGTAAGCTGACCTTTACCTCCATCAGGTTCATTCTCATTTATAATACTTAAAAAAAAAAAAATCCCGGCCTCCATCCTCTTATTTATTCCTTGGGCATCGAGGACATAAATCCTTTGGCATGTTTGGATTTATAGAATTACTGTGCTTTTGCTGAGCCTCACGTCCCACTCCAATCAAATGACACGGCTCTGCGGGTGATTGCATTTCTCCTCCCCTGCCTCCCTCCTGGCTGCTCCTGATCCACATCTCCTCATGCTCCCTGCAGCCTTTCCAGGGAAAGGTGGGCCCTTGGCAGCCACAGGGAAGGATGGGAAAGGGAGTCAGCCAGTCTTGGGGTTATCAGTGGTTGCTTCTGAAGGGCAACAACCTCCAGGTACCTCCTTCCCTGGTGCAGAATGAAAATGCTGAGATGCTTTCCCAGGAGGCATTTCATCAGCTCTGCTCCAGGGCTCCTCCAAAACCAGAGCGTTTCCGTGGTGGCTGGGGAGAGGGGGGAGTTATAAATATCTTTCTTGGCTCTGCTTGGCTTCTCCTCAAGATAAATAGAAGTGAAAGTCAAAAGCAGAGGCTTGGCTCTCTGCAATCTCTTCCCGAGTCCCCAGGGACCTGAGCGCAGGATGCTTTTGTGATGGGAAGCCACTTCCTGGTGTTCCAGAGGTGTTGAGGATGACGTTTGAGGGGCCTCTCTCCACACTGCCTGAGGCAGGTCTCAGCTGTGCTGTGATCTCCGTGCCTGGAGTCCGGTGGTTTCTGTCATGGGAAGCCTCAGGGAGCACAAGGAGCATCAGTGAGAAGCCAGCCTGAAACAAGAGCAGAAAAAAGTGTCTGTGGTTGTCCTCTAAATCTTGTAGCATGTTTACTCTCAGAAAGTACAGCTACATTACCAAAAATCAATAGTTCTAGCTGCGTTCCTCCCTGGGAAACACACAGCTGCTCGAACACACGGGAGGTGGTGAATCTTAAAAAAGCCAAGGGAATACAAAGTGCTTTGCTACAATGGCTTTGCTGCACTTTTAGCAGTGTACAAATGGAGGGCCTTTGACCTGGGCAGTGTCTTCTGGGGCTCCCCAGTCATCCTTCTGCTGTGACATGCCTGAGGCTGTGTGAGGCAAGAGGGGCTTGGGGAGGGTTTGTCTCATTAACTTAGTTTTGCTTTGAAGTACATGTGTTTAGTGAGAAAAACAGGTTGTGGTGTTCAGCAACAGCATAAACAAAACTCTTCCTTTGTTATTTTGTGGAAAGGTGTGACTTCTAGCACTGCTGATGGGTCTGGCACATCCCAGCATTTAATTTGTTTTCTTCATGGAATCCTGGAATGGTTTGTGTTGGAAGGGACCTTAAAGTCCACCTTGTTCCATTGCCATGGGCAGAGACACCTTAGATCAGAGTGCTTCACGGTCCTTCTAACCTGGCATTGCAAACTTCTAGGGATCCAGGGGCAGCCACAGCTTCTCTGGGCACCCTGTGCCAGGCCTGCCCACCTCACAGGGAGGAGTTTCTTCCCGGTATCTGAATCATGCTCAGGCAGTGGGAAGCCATTCCTCTTTGTCCCATGACTCCATGCCCTTGTCCAAAGTCCCTGTCCAGCTCCCTTGGAGCCCCTTTAGGCACTGGAGGTGGCTCTTGTCAAGCCTTAGTACTCCTTGCTTCCCAGCACACCTGCCACTCCCTCTGTCAGGAATCCAGAGAGAGGTAATTTCTGTTTTTCCTGGGTGGAGAGGGCTCTGTGATGGGAAGGAGTGACAGTGTGAGCAGCCACTGTGACAGGGACAGGTGTGAAGGATTGGGGTGAGTGGGCACAGTGCATTGCAGGCAGCCCCAAAGACCACCATCCTCCCTTCTGAGGTCAGCCAAAACAAAGAGAAAGGTGACCAACCCCTTTTTACTGCCATCTCTTATTAATGAGACATTTTATCCTAAGTCCTCCAACATGAACGGCGCAGGCTTTTGGGAACATAATTAATCTTTCTTGTATAAATCTTTAATTGTGTGAAATGGAGTTTGTGTGGCTGTCATCATTTCTCTTCCTCTCTTTTCCTCCTCTCCTGGTTTGAGATGCTTCCTTAGCACAGCTTTTTTATGCAGGCTGCTCTTCCTTAGGGCACTGACCACTCACAGTGTCCCTTGAGGCCACCACGCTGCCCTGGGGTCTCTTGCTCTGCCCCCAGATGGGCAGGGAATCACTTTCCCTATGGCTCTTCTCCTTTGTGGAGTGACAGCAAACCCAGGAATTGTCCTGAAAGAAAACTAACTGGTCTCCTCTGGAAAAAAGGGTACAGAATACTCTTGGGACAAACAACAAAAGAGCGGTTGTGCCCAAATCAGTGCCAGGCAGAGCCAAATGCCTCTTTGGAGGAGGCGAAGTGCAGCCTTTCAGATGCTAAGTAGTTATTTGGGATTTCAGTCAGTCCCTCTAAGGAGGAATTGATGCACCATTGGCTCCAGGAGGATTAATGTGTTGGCTTTCCTTCTTGCCTTCTGTAAAGGGCAGCGAGGGCTGGGGGACTGTCTCAATCCCACGCCTGCAGGGACAGATACAAAACTGAATAGGAGACAGATGGAATGGACATTTTGGAGATCTCCAAGGTGGGGAGAAGCCACTGCTCAGGTTCTCGGTGACTCACAGCTCTCCTGTTAAACAGAGCTTTCCAAATTAGCATTTCCACCGAGAAGCTTTTCCTGAGGCACAGCTGATGTTCCCAGGTAGAGCAATTTCCTGCTGCTTAATGGAACGGGAGGAGCACTTTGTGCTTGGATGCGACGATGCTTTTCCAGCAGTAACTTCTTGTAAGGAATTCTGATGTCATTTTTCTTGGTCTGCTCGGTGGGTTGGATTAATGGGCAGGGCCACACCCCCTGGGCTCCGGAGCTGGCTTGCTTTCCTTAATTTGCACTCAAGTCTTTGCGGAACAAAGACGGATTTGTTGAACAAAGCGGGGTCAGTGCTGGGATGAGGAGCCCTGTGCCTCCAGCCTGCTACTTTGAATTAGGACTGAGCTGTGTCTGTTAAGTCCTGCATCTGTGGCCTGGATTGGTGCAAACCTGCTGGCCTCAAACCTTGCTGCTGCAGAGCCTGTGACCTCGAGAGCCATCCTGGGTGGTGCCTCCAGAGCAGCGGTGCCTCCCCACGCTCCCTCAGTGACACAGGCAGCAAAACAGGGCAGGTTTCAGCAGCTGCTGCTGTAGATAAAAAGAGTTCAAGTGCTGTCTTTAGTGGGAAAAATAACCTAAAGAACACTTTGATATAAAGGCAAAGCCAATCTGTGAGGAGAGGCTTTTGACAGGGCCAGCTCCTGTGAGAGAGCCGTGGGCCAGCTGCAGGCTCCATCCCTCTGGTGCCCTTCAAGTGTTTTTTTTTCTTCTTCCTTTCAGCTCTTTGAGAACTTCCACTTCGGTGAGGTGCAGCTGGACTCGGTGCATCTCTCCCAGAGGTTCTCCTCGGACGCCTCTGGCTACTACGCCACATCTGGGCAGCTGTGCTTCTCTTGAGGCGGCCATGGCGGGTCTGCTGTGGGCATGATCCCTCAGTGAAAGGTTTTATAGGACATGAATCTTCAATGGAAACCTGGGAACTCCAAGCTGGGATGCCTTGTGACTCCTCCAAAGCATGGGAACCGTGGCATTTCCCTGCAGCTTTTTCTGCTGCCCTCTTCTTTGAGGCTGCCTTCCTCCTTCTTCCCCCAAACATCACAAAGTTTCCTCTTTGATGTCTGTGGATTGCTGGTTTTCTAAGGAAACGACTAGAACTGGGGCTTTTGGGGCATCACTGGTGTTTAAATGTGGGGTTTTTTATAGAAGAGGGAAGTTTGTTCTTAAAATAAGTATTTAAAATCCAGGAGAGCTTCGCCAGAGCACGATTTAATGATATTGAGGTCAGGCATTGCTTGGATCTCCAGCAGCGTGCCTGTGTGATGTGGATCTCCAAATAAATTAATTCCCTTCAAAAGCAAAGTGTTTATCTCCTGTTGCATTGATAGTTTCTGTAATTAAACTTCCAGCACAGCACATAACTATGATAATAAGAAAGCACTGACGGTTAGAGCTCTTTCCAGTGACCGTTTCGGAGCGTGTCAAAAAACATATGCCTTGTAGGTGGTTTCTCCATTAAAAGCAGCACCAAGCTCTTTGATTCCATTGTGAATCCTTCAGAGATCTCAAGACAAAGTTGTTTTTTTCCTGTAAATCTCCACATTTGGTAAAAATAGCGACACAGGATTTCGACTTGCCCTAGGATGAACGCTTTGGAAAGTGGAAGGTGCTGGTGCTTGGGTGTTTTGTAACACACAGGTGCTGCTGCCCATTCCTAGTTGCTTCCATGGATATGGAATCATGCAGTGGTAGAGGTGGAGAGTGTCTCAGCCAGGGATAGGGGTGCTCCAGCAGCACCCACATGTCCTAGTGATCATTTCTAAGAGACCTTCACCCCTTTTCCTCCCTCCAGAGTGAGCTGGCTGCTTGGCCATGCACAAACAGCAGTGGGAGTCATTCAGGACCTGGGATTGCTTTGCTTTTTCCCTCCAAATGTATTGCTGTTTATGTTTCCCAGACCAAATTGCCTGTCTGCTTTCAAGCCTGCCTGTCAGGCAATCAAATCATCTGTGCTTTTGCTGGGTGCCCTTGCTTGTCCCCAGCCAGAGCCGTTGGGCTGTTTGTGTCCCTTTCCTTGGCGTCAGAACGCCTCTGTGCTCTCCAAAAGCCGCCTTGCAAGCGGTTCCCTCGGGGAGCAGAGCACAGCACGCACTCACGGGGAGGTGCTGAGAGCACTTAACACCAGTTGCTGTCATCTTTCCGCCAGCCTGAAGAGGTACTTGGCAAATCTCTCTGGAACAGACCCGGGAGCTGCTCACGCAGCCACCAGGAAAGGGGAGGTGCACCTTGGGAAGCTTCTGCCTGATGAGTTTTTAACAACTCTCAATGAGAAGTTGAGGCAAACACGGGTTTTTGACAATTGGAGCATGCTCCTCCCCTTCTCACTTATGTAAACATGTTTTAGTGACAATTCTTTGGGAAGTTGGTTGAATTTCGCTGGTAAGCAGCTTATCCCGCTGCTCTAGCCTGGCACAGCAAAATTCATTTCACACCTCCTTCCCCAGGCAGAATTAAGGATCCTGATCTTTTGCCTGACATCACTGGGGTTTGCTGGCAGTTTTCCTTCCCATCCCGAACATCCTGGCAGGGAGAGGAGAAGCTGGATGTGTGCTGTGGCATCCCCAGCTGAAGCTGTGAAGGAGCTGCAGCTGGGGTGAGTTGTCACTTGTTGCCTACCCAGATTTCCCCCTGCTGAGAAGAGGGGAAAATCCAGAAGCGAAACCTTGGGATAGGGGAGGATTCTTCCCTGGGGCCCTAAAATGCTGTGGTGGGATGGCCAAGGAATGGGAACACAGTGTGGGCATTGCAGGGAGAGAGGTTGGAGGATGGGAGATGCCAGGGACGGGGGGCTGTGGAATGGGGGTGGGAATGGGACTGGGAATGCAGGATGGGATGTGCAGGTGGGGATGTGGAAGGAATGGGGGATGTGTGATGGATCCATGGTAAGAGTGAGAGATGTGGGATGACTGGTGCTGGATGGGGATGTGGCAGGGGATGCAGGATGGGGGATGTGAGATGGGTGCCTGGCAGGGACCAGGGCTGCTGGGTGAAGGATGCAGGATGAGAACATGGCAGGGACCAAGGGATGCAGGACATTGGATGTGGGATGGAGACTGGGTAGGGACCAAGGCTGCAGGATGGGGGATGCAGAATGGAGATGTGATGGGGATGGGGGACGCAGGATGGGGACTGGGTAAGGACCAGGGATGAGGGGTGCAGGATGGGGGTGTGGAATGGAGACGGGATAAAGACCAGGAATGCAGGATAGAGGATGCGGGAGGGGGTGTGTCAGGGATGGAGGATGGGGACGCGGTGGGCACCGGTAGTGCAAGACGAGAACTTCAGGATGAGGGTGTGGCAGGAGATGCGGGGCGCACCATGGGGGACGCGGGACGGGAGCAGGTCAAGGACGAGGGTGCAGGACGGTGACG